ATACCCAAAGATCTCATCCTATTGCAGAGACACTTGTACATCCATGTTTGTTGCTGCTCTTTTCACAATAGATAAGAGATGGAGGCAACCTAAGTGGCCCTCAACTGAGGAGTGCTTAACAAAAATGTGGTATATTTACACAATGGAGTTCTATTCAGCAGTAAAGAAAGATGAAATAAGCCAGGCGTGGTGGTGCACACCTTTAATCCCAGTATTTGGGAGGCAGAGGCAGGCAGATCTCTGTGAGTTCAAAGCCAGCCTGGTCTACATAGTGAGCTCCAGGACAACTGGGGCTATAGGGAGACCCTGTCTCAAAAAAAAAGATGAAATAATGAAATTTGCAGATAAATGGATGAATCTAGAAACTGTTATACTAAGTAACACAAACTCAGAAAAATAAATGACGTATGTTCTCCCTCATATGTAGCTCCTAGCACCAAATCCGTTTAAATTCCAGGTCCTTTTAATAAGATGATGCTATACAGCAGTCCCTTCTGCATGAAATAACTACCATCATCACGACTTCGGCTGAGCCTGACTGCTAAACATAGTCACAATTGGGCTTGTTGACAGTTGTGCTCATTCATTAAAGGAGTGCCAAGCAGGGTCACTGGACCCTCACCTGAATATCCAGCCCCTCTTCCCAGCCAACAAGTCCAGCCTTGGAAGACAAAAGAAAAATGACAAAGCTCAGCAGTTAAGAACACCAACTGTTCTTGCGGAAGATGTGGGTTCAATTCCCAGCACCGACATGGCAGTTAACAACTGTCTGTGACTCCAGTTCCAGGGGATCCGATAACCTCTTCTGTCCTCCGTGGGCATTGCACGACATGGGTGCACTTACATACATACAGGCGTAACACTCATACACATAAAATAAAAATTTTTGAAAAAAAAAAAAGCCAAAAAAGAAGGAGCTAGAGAGAGATGGCTTAGTGGTTATAAGCAATGGCTATTCTTTCAGAGGGCCCAGGTTCAGTTCCCAGCATCCACATGGAGGCCAATAACCTTCTGAAACTCTAGTTCCAGGGCATCCAACATCCTCTTCTGGCCTCCGAAGACATTGCATATGGTGGTGCAACACCTTACACCTTTAATCCCAGCACTTGGGAGGCAAAGGCAGGCAGATCTTTGTGAGTTGGAGGCTAGCCTGGTCTACATAGTGAGTTCCAGGACAGCTGCTGGGGCTACAAGGAGACCCTGTCTCAAAAAGACAAAAAAAAAAAAAAAAAAAAAAAAAAAGACCCCAAAGAAATGTAGCCAGTTTCTTGGCTAAAAGTCAAAATGTCCTTCGGCCTCTTAGCAACACACAATGTTCCAAGGCCAAAAATGTCAAAAGTATTTAGGAGCTTATATCTAATCCTTAAAAGATTTTAGGGTTACTTCTTTAGAGGGGGGAATGTTGGAGGGGAGGGAGTGGGCATGGATTTGATCAAAACACCTTATATGCATGTATGAAATTCTCAATTAAGTTTTTGTAAAAATTTTTTGAAAAAGTGTGAAATAATCAAATATTATGCTCCTCATTTATATCTATTTTATAGGCAAAGAAAAATATTAGAGGAAAATTCCCAGAGAAAAACAACTTAGAGGCACACATGGTAGTGCAAGCCTTTAATCCCAGTATTCTGGGAGGCAGAGGCAGGTGGATCTCTGTTAGTTCAAAGCCAGCCTGGCTTACACAGTGAATTCCTGGACGGCTAGGGCTACAGGGAAATCCTGTCTCAAAACAAAAAACAAAAAAGACAACTCAGGAGTATGGAAAAATGTCATTAGAAGATTAATTATAAAGATAATTATGTGAAGCTGGCCATGGTGGCACATGTCTTTAATCCCAGCACTTGGGAGGCAGAGGCAGGTAGATCTCTGTGACCTCAAGGCCAGTCTGGTCTACATAGTGAGTGAGTTCCAGCCCAGTTGCGGCTATAGGGAGACCCTGTCTCAAAAGACCAAAAAAAAAAAAAAAGTAAAGATAATTATATGAAATTTTTAAAGGGAAAGAGAAAGGGAGTGGGGGAGAGGGAGAGATGGGAAGAAGGAGAGAGAGGAGAGGAAGAAAATGTCACACACTTGCCACAGAGGTCAGAGGATAATCTGTAGGAGTTGTTTCTTTCTTTCCACCACGTAGGTTCTGGGATTTGAATTCAGATCCTCAGGCTTGGCAACAAACACCTCTTCCTACTGAGTCATCTTACTGGTCAGCTTTTTTTTTTTTTTAAACAGAGTCTTGTAGTCCCAGCTGGCTAAGAGCTCACTATGTAGACCAGACTGGCCTCCATCTCACAGAGATCTACCTGACTCTGCCTCCTGAGAGCTGGGATTAAAGGTACATGCCTCCATATCTGGCCTCTTATGACCAATAACTTTTTACTTGCACCCAACAGTGTCCTAACAGACACAAATGTAAAACTTGAAAACTAAGTTCTTGATATAGCTAAGTGTTCAATCAATATTTGCCTCACAGATTCCATGACAGGGTTTGACCATAACCAAAAACAAAACAATTTTTCCTATCAATAGACTAATAGATTGTTTATACTTTAAAAAAAAAAAAGTATGGTGGAAGCTTCCTACTTGGGAGGTTGAAACAGGACTTTGAGTTAGAGGTCAGCCTGGGCTATACAGTAAGACTTTTTTTTTTTTTTTTTTTTTTGAGACATGGTCTCTTTGTAGCCCTCGCTCGCTTGAAACTCACTGTGTAGAACAGGATGGCCTCAAAATCTGAGGTCCACCTGCCTCTGCATACGGTCCCCCACCCCCATGCTGGGATTAAAGGCCTGAGTTACTACTCCAGGCTGAGATTTTTGTCTTAAAGGAAAAAAACAAAATAAAATGAGGCTGGGTGCAGTGGCCTATACCTTTAGTCCCAGCACTTGGGAAGCAGAGGCAGGTGGATTTCTGTGAGATCAAGGTCAGCCTGGTGTACAGTGAGTTACAGGCCAGTTGGGGCTACAAGGACACCCTGTCTCAAAAAGACAAAAACAAAAAACAAAATAATAGGTCATAAGGGACATAAAAGTTCATTAATAAAGAATGGAGGGGCTGGAGAGATGCCTCAGTGGTTAAGAGCACTGATTGCTCTTGCAGAAGTTCCAGGTTCGATTCCCAGCACCCACATGGTGGCTACGAACCATCCTTAACTCCAGTTCCAGGTAAATCTGAAGCCTTCTTCTGACCTCCGTGGCACTGCATGACACGGGTGCACTCACATACATGCGGGTAATATGCTCATACACATAAAATAAAAATTAAAAAAAAGAATGGAGTATGCTGTGTTGTATGTGGTGGTGATCTTTAATCCCAGCACTCAGGAGGCAGAGGCAGGCAGATCTCTGTGAGAGTGAGGACAGCTTGGTATACACATCAAGTTCTAGGCCAGCTGGGGCTACAGGGAAACCCTATCTCCAAAACAAAAACAAAACAAGAAAATGAAGAAATCAATAGCATTTCCATATATGGATTTTTAAAAATTAATTTATTTTTATTTTATATGTATGAGTGTTTACAGTTTTTTGAAATTATTTTTATGAGCATGCATGTATTGCCTGCATGTAGGTAAATGCACCCGTGTCGTGCAATGCCCTTCAGAGGTCAGAAGAGGTTGTCGGATTCCCCTGGAACTGGAGTTACGGACAGTTGTTAGCTGCCATGTGGGTGCTGGGATTCAAACCCAGGTCTTCTGCAAGAACAACCAGTGTTCTTAACCACTGAGCCATCTCTCTAGACCCAGATTTTTTTTTAAATGAAAACTCAAGAAGGTCTCAGACACTCAATGTTGATATTAATAACTAAGAACTCCTGACCCTTCTGCCTCTACCTCCTGAGTGCTGGGATTACAGGCATGTGCCACCATGCCAGGCCATAAATGAAACTGGTATGCAAGAATAAGAAAAGAGTATGGACTGATAAGGAAGCCGACCTGAAGACAGGAGTGGGAATAGTAAGACTGCACAGAGTATACGCTGTCTCTGGACTGGGGAAAGTGACAGCAATACCCATTTGTCAGTGTATGTATTAAATGTCTCTGGAGACATGAAAAAATTTGCATACCAACTGCCTCTGGAGAAGGGCGACGTAGGGATAAGAGAGATTTCTATGTGTATCTGGATATTTTAAGTACTACACATGGGACTAGGGAGATGGCTCAGTTTAAAGGTGCTTGCTGACAAATCTGGTGACCTGAGTTTGCTCTCCAGATCTGACATGGTAGAAGGAGAGAACCAACCTTGTCAAGTTATCTTCTGTTCTCCACATACGCACTATGGCATGTGTAGCCCCCTCATAAAATAATCAAATGTTAAAAAAAAGTATTAAAACATGAAAAATTTCTTTTTATAAATAATGCTTTAAATTACTTTATACATTGATGCCTGAGGCTCAGTGTGGCCAGCACTTTCTCTCATGGCCCCAATGATTACGATCCTGCCTGCTGACATTTGTGCTCTGCATGTCCTCCCTCTGAGTGTAGGCTGAACTTACTCTTCCTTTTAAGGAACAGAGCACAAATGCTAAGACATCACTTCCACAGGTAAGTGGATCTAATTGTCAGGTTGTGAGCTGACCACAGGGCTGGGAATGTAGCAGAGTTGACAAAGCATTTGCCTAGCATGCACCAATTTCATTATCATAAAGAAGCCCATGTGCAACCAATGGCTGCAGAAAACAGGCAATACAGACCCACGACCTTCCACCAACCACTTGAGAAGATGGAGGTGAATCCTCCTCAGACAAGCCTCCAGAAAACTGCAGGCTAGCTAAGACCCTAACTACAGTTTTGAGAGAAACCCAGAGCCAAGAAGCCAGCTAAGATGCCTGACCTGCAGACACTGAGAAGCAACACCTAATTTGGGCAGGCATTCCAATGGGTGGGGCTCTCACCTGGGTGTCTGATGGCTCCTCAGGGCCTCCTTCTTCAGGAGCTCCAACCTCTGTGGTGAGCAGAAACAGGGGTAGGCAGCTCCAGACTTTAACAATGCTTCCGCAGCCTGGGCGTATAGTGCCAGCCGCTGTGACTGCTGGTAGGGCCCCATAGGACCACCCCGGCGGGGACTTTCATCAGGGGGAATGCCTAGGACATAAAGAGACTTGTCATTACATAGTAAAACCAGAGGTGCACAAAGGACTCATTCTCAAGTATGTGTGTAGGGATTTTACACACACATTACACTTTCTTTTTGAGACAGGGTCTTACTCTGATGCCCTAGCTGGCCCGATACTTGCTATGTATAGACTAGGCTAGCCTTGAACTTGGAGATTCTACTACCTCTGCATTGAGAATACCGAAATTAAAGGCACATGCTAACATGTCCAGCAACATGTGTTAACCTTTTTAAGCCTTATGATAATCCATGAGGTCAACACTAACTACAGTTTCCCTCTTGGTGATTAAAAGGGACAGGAGATAGGTTGAGGACTGAGGGTCACATAGCCAGTAGAAGGGGGAAGGCACAGAAAGGTATGTGGTTTCTCCACTCTGCATCTTTCCTTTCCATCCATCTGTTCACAGGTGAGAGAAACCAGTTTAGGCCTGTAGCACTGGACTCAAGAGAAGGCAGTGAAGCTTCCTGGCTGTTGTCACTCACTGGCTATGACAGGGATCACAAAGGGTGGCAACATGTGAATACTAGAGTGCTGAACACTCTGAAGTCTGCTTTTATGTTTGTTCTGTGACCTCCCTGAAGTCTTAAGTCTCTCTTCCAAGTAGGTGTTGATATCTCCCCTCTCTGAAAGGAGAAACTGAGGCACTCAAGTACTTTGTTATGTTACCTTGGTCAAGGCTAAGGGGTACGACCAGCCCCAAACCTAGGCTGGCAGGCCGAAAGCCCATGCTCTTTCAAAAACAACAAAACAAAACAAAACAAAACAAAACAAAACAAAACATTTTATTGGGGGATGGAGGGACGGCTCAGCAGATAAGAGCACTGGCTGTTCTTGAAGAAGACTCAGGTTTGGTTCCTAGCACCCACGTGGCAGCTCACAATTGTCTAACTTCAGTCCCAGGGAGTCCAACACCCTCTTCTGGCCTCCTTGGGCATCAGGCACACATGTGGTACACTTACATACACACAGGCAAAATACTGAGACACATAAATAAATCTGAAAAAAGTTTTAATTAAAAAATCAATTCTGGGGCCGGAGAGATGGCTCAGCAGTTAAGAGCACTGACTGCTCTTCCAGAGGACCCGGGTTCAATTCCCAGCACCCACATGGTGGCTATGAACCGTCCTTAACTCCAGTTCCAGGGGAATCCGAAGCCCTCTTCTGACCTCTGTGGCACTGCACAACACAGGTGTACTCACATATATGCAGGCACTACACTCATACACATAAAATTTAAAAAAAAGAAAAATCAATTCCTTGAGAATTTCATAGAATGAATTTTTGTCCTATTCATCCCCTCCCCAACTCCTTCCAGATTCACCACCCCCCGCGCCGCTTTCCCTACCCACCCAACCTTGTTTCCTTTAAAAAAAGAGATTGAGGGGCTGCAGAGATGGTTCAGTGGTTAACAGCACTGGCTGCTCTTGCAAAGGACCTGGGTTTGGTTTCCAGCACCCACATGGCAGCTAATAATCATCCATAACTCCAGTTCCAGACAATCTGATGCTCTCTTCTGGCCTCCTTGGGCACTGCACAACACAGGTACACTTACATACACGCAGACAATATACTCATACACATAAAATTTTTTAAAAGTAAAAAAAAAAATTAATTAAAAAAAAATAGTTGGGCAGGATGCCACAGAACTTGGGAGGCAGAGGCGGGATCTCTGAGTTCAAGGCCAGCCTGGTCTACATAGTGAGCTCCACACTAGCTGGGGCCACAGGGAGACCCTGTCTCAAAAAGAAGAAAAAAAAAACAAAAAACAAGCCAATTTGTGCTGCCCATATACTCTTAGATCTGGGCCATCCCCTGGAGGGTGGTTGACCTCAAAGGGGCCACACTCTTAAAGAAAACTGATTCTCCCTTTCCCTGCAGCTACCAATTGTCAATAGCTCTTCAGCTAGAGGTGCGAACTCATGTCTACCCAACATCCTTCCATGCTGAGATTTTGTCTGGCTTGGGCTTGCACAGGTCTTGTGCATGCTGTCACAACCACTGTGAATTTATACATGCAACATCCCTGTTGTATCCAGGAAACACTGTTTCCTTGTAGCCATCCATTGCCTCTGCCTCTGAAAATCTTTCCACTGCCTCTTCTGAGATGATCCCTGAGCCTCAGGAGGGCGTATGACTGATACTAATATCACATTTAGGGCTGAGCACCTTGCAGGCTCTTATTTTCTGCAGCTTGACCAGTTGTAGGTCTCTGTAGGGACATGTGCTTATATGTTTATTCTCAATTTTGTTCCATTGATCAATGTGTCTGTTTTTACTCCAGTACCATGCTGTTTTTATTACTATATCCCCGTAGTCCAGCTTGAAAACTGAGATGGTAATACCTCTAGCAGTTTTTTTATTGGTCAAGCTATCCAGAGTCTTTTGTAATTCCAAATGAAATTAGTAATTTTTGTTTTCAATTTATGTGAAGAACTACACTGGGATTTTGGTGAGGACTGTGCAGAATCTGTAGATTGCTTTTGGTAAAATGGCCATTTTTACAAATATTAAGCCTAATCCCAATCCATGAGCAGGAAGGTCTCTCCATCTTCTGGTACCATCTTTAATTTCTTTTTTTGGTGTCATGAAGTTTTCAGTACATGAGTCTTTCATTTCCTTGGTTTTAGATTTATTTCAGTACTGTTCCCCTGATTTTTTTCTTTCTTTTTTAAAATTTTATGTGTGAGTGTATTGCCTGCATGCAAGTGTACCCATGTCACGCAATGCCTGCGGAGGTCAGAAGAGGGCATCGGATCCCCTGGAACTGGAGTTAAGGATGGTTATTAGACATCATGTGGGTGCTGGGAATCGAACCTGGTTCTCTGCAAGAGCAGCCAGTGCTCTTAAACCACTGAACCATCTCTCCAGTCCCTTGCCTGATTTTTTTTCTCAGTATGCTTGTTTTTGGCATATAGGAAGGGTACTGATTTCTACATGTTGATTTTGTATCCTGCTACTTTGCTCTACGTGTTTATCAGCTCTAGGAGTTTTCTGGTAGAGTTTTTAGGGTCTTTTATATATAGAATCATATCAGCTACAAATAAGGATACTTTGACTTCTTCCTTTCCAATTTCCATCACTTTTATCTCCTTCCCAGGGCCTCTAAATTTTCATTTGCTAGAAAAGAGCACGGGGTACTAGGTACAACAGCACATAATTATCCCATTACTCAGGAGGCTGAAACAGGAGAATTGCCCTAAGTTCAAGGTCAGTTAGCCTAGGCTATACAGAAAGACCCTGTTTCAAAGTAAATCACCATACATAGGGGCTGGAGAGATGGCTCAGTGCTTAATAGTTCTTACTGCTCTTGCAGAGGCTCTGGGTTCAGTTTTTGGCACCACATGGAAGCTCACAACTGCCAGTATCTCCAGTTACAGGGGATCCAATAACCTCTTTCAGCTCTACAGGCTCTTGCACACATGTGGTGCACATGTACTCAAGCAAGCAAACAGATATACACATAAATAGAGTAAATAAATCTAAAACATATACACACATGTGCTACCCTGGCTTCCCTCAATAATGGACTGTGATCAGGATATGTAAATCAAAAAAACCCTTTCCTCCCCAAGTTGGTTTTAGTGTTTTATGACAGCAATAGAAAGTAACTAGGATAGTGGATAAATAAAACACAGCATATAATGCCATAAATATTGCTGATTTATAAAAAGGAATGAAGGGCCAGCAGGATGGCGAAGTGGATAAAGGCACTTGCCACCAAGTCTGCCAACTTGAGTTCAATCTCCAGGATCCATATGGTGGAGGGAGAGAACTAAATCCTGTGGTAGTCCTCTGACTACCATATGATTGATGTGGCATATCTCTTCCCTCCCTCACAAATAAATAAGTATAAAAAGGAATGAAATACTCATACCTGGGGGCTGCTCAGCAGTTAAGAGCACTAACCTTTCTTTCAGACGACTTGGGTTCAATTCCTAGCACCCACAAGTGGCTACCACCCATCTGTAACTCCAGTTCCAGGGGATCCATCACCTTCTTTTGGTCTCTGTGGGCACCAGGTACATACATGGTATATTTACACACATCCAACACTCATATACATAATAAATAAAATCTCAAAAAAAGGAAATACTCATACATGCTATCATCCAGATAAACCTTATGCTAAATGAAAGAAGCCAGTTACATATTTTGTGGCACCAGTGACAAGTGACATGAAATGTCCAGAACAATGGCAAGTCTACAGCGAAGAGTAGAACAGCCAGGAACTGCTATTATCTATGGAGTTTCTTTGGGGGGCAATTAGAACTGTTCTAGAATTAATGGTGATAATTATACAGTATACCAGCTATACTACAAACCACTGAATTGCTTAATTTGAAGTGCTGAATTTCAAATTACGTGAATAAAGCCATTAAAAAAAAATTAACTGCTGG